ATGTATGCCATATATGATATTACCGTTTCCAACTTTCACCAAGGTTAATAGGAACCATAACAGCTCCCTACCCTTCCCCCGTATATGAATATCGATTTGTAGCCTCACATTTCAAGGTTAGACTTCTTGTAATGTTTCTGTTCAACATTCGGCGATTTCTGACAATTTTCCCAATAAAACATGATCATTGTGACATTAAGCCTGGCAACGCTGCATAGTAGAGGGAACTCTCAGCGTCACGTTGATGGTTCGTCACCACGCACAGGATTGTAATCAGTTACGGATACCTGTTTATGAGCGCGAACGTTTTATGCACGTCTTGACTTGATTTTTCTTGCGGAAATTTAATATTAGTCTAAAATGTCTGACACAGATACAGCTGATGAAGTGGTTGAAATCAGCTTAACGCCACCCAGAAAAAGGGCTAAAAAGCTTCATCTTAGCGCAGGTGAAAAACAAATTATTCTAAATATCTACAAGAACCAGATGCAAGAGAATAGTGGATTGGCTATAGAAAATATCGTATGTAAGGTTGCTGAAATTTCTGGAGTAGGTCGATCAAGTGTTTACAAAATCTTGAAGGAATATAGACAAAATCACTAACTATCTGAGCCAAAAACATATCCAGCGAGAAAAAAAATCATCGAAAAAATAGATGACTTTGACAGAAGTGCCATTAGAAGAAAAGTACATCACTTTTTCTTCAGGAATGAAATACCTACAATAGATAAAATATTGAAGCAAGTGAATGATGATGAGGACCTGCCAAATTTTAAAAGATCTACGTTCCATAAGCTGTTGAAAGAACTAGACTTTCGATTTTTGAAAAGAGGAAGGAATAGTTTATTGATAGAAAAGGAGGAAATTGTTATCTGGAGGAGAGAATACCTTAGAAAAATTAGGCAATTCCGCGCTGAAGGAAGAAAAATTTATTATTTAGACGAAACATGGGTGAACGCCGGGCATACGCAGGGAAAGGTTTGGGTAGACAGATCTGTGAGGTCCTCAAGGCAGGCTTTTTTAGATGGCCTTTCGACGGGATTGAAAAATCCTGCAGGTAAGTTTCGAAGTATATGAACTTTTTTGGATGCAGATAATTCATTTTCTGATCGAATCAATGATGTGGAAGCTCCGAACTCAGTTTTGCTATCTCATCCAAGTTTCTGAGTATTTCCTTCACCTAAAAACTAATCTAAGACCCTATCCTACACTAACCTAAAAAGAGTAAGTTGCTTAATTTCGTCATTTAGTGCGCTCGCTGAAAAGTAAAATAACTAATTACTTTCAGGCAAGGGAAAACGCCTGATCATTTGCCACATAGGTAGCGTAGATGGATTTGTTCCTGAAGCATTGTGGGCATTTGAATCCAAAAAAACTGGAGACTATCACGAAGAAATGGATGGTAACTCATTTGAAAATTGGTTCAAAAAAATTTTGCCGACACTTGATGATAACGCAATTATTGTGATGGATAATGCCCCGTACCACTCCAGAAAATTGGAAAAAATTCCAACAATGGCCACCAAAAAGGCAGACATTCAACAGTGGCTTGTTTCAAAGAAGACCGACTTCGACCAAACAATGGTCAAAGCTGAGCTGATAAATATAGTCAAGCGACATAAGTATAAATATGATTTAAAAATTGTTGACGAAATGGCCAAAAACCAAAATAAAACGATTCTCAGGCTGCCTCCCTATCACTGCGAACTGAATCCTATCGAGTTGATTTGGGCCGACATCAAGCAATACGTGGCGTCAAATAACAGCACTTTTAAGTTTTCTGACCTTAAAAAACTGTTTGATGTTGCTGTCGATAGAATTACGCCAGCAAAATGGAGAACATGTATTGGCCATGTCCAAGAGAAGGTTGAAACCAAAATGTGGGATATGGACAATATCATTGACACCCAAGTTGATCCCCTTATAATTGACATCAACAATTCTGATGATTCAAGCTCCTCGGAATACAGCATATAAATCGATTGATACCATTAAGACTGGCAGTTTAACGGGCTTTTTGGCAAGACAGGTAAGTTCATTATAGACTGCAATCAAAGTGTAAGTTTCTAGTTATTAATGTGGAAATTCCGAATTTATAATTACACAAAATTAGGGTTAATTTAGGAGTTCCAAAGCATAATAGTGCCATTTTGACCTTCTTCCTATTTCTCATGTAAATTTTAATAGCAATCAAACTAACAAACTTTATGGAGTCTGTAATAAACTTTTGTACTACTACTACTACGTCTGTAGTTTCTATTTGCTCAAAAAAATTTGCTCTGCATTGTGAATAGAAGGTTGATTTGTAAATATTATTGGGTATATATGTAAGTTAATAATAAAATATGAACAATTTCAATTGAGATGGTCCACAAGTTTTTTTCGTGTGCGTTTTAGTAACATTTTGCTGAAATGGTGAATACAGAATTTTTTGCACTGATTCCTAATGTCGAAATATGATTAGAAAGGCGTGGTATATTCCTGATAATTTACTATGCTTTTGATAGAATTTACAGCAACACATATCTTGTACGACATTTTTTGATAGATCAGTCACAATAGCTTGATACGGCCCTGTAGCGTCTCCTACGGTTAAGTTCTTGATCACGTGCAATACGGGTGTATATGTTTGATTTTACTTTGTTTCTTCGATGGATACAGTTTAGTTTATGTATGTCGAATTTAGTAAATTAAATAACAATAGAGAGCTTACGTTTTATTATAAAATTAAGCATAAATGCACATACATATGTACCAAGATAATTAAGAATTATTAATCAAAATCATTAATGAATTTATCAAATTATGAAGCTTGGAAATATTCATCATTTTTTTTTTGTTTAAGGTTGTTATAACGCGAGATCAGAGCTTTGTCCCTCAGTCTTCTCAAAAGTAAACGTTCGTTGTAGGATGTACCATTCTCTTTAGCCCATTGTAAACCTGGCTCAACGGCGTTAATTGCGTCTTGTGCTGTGACTTGTGGAGCAGTTGCAATCACGTCGTCGTTATTTTCCTGATTGTTTGTTGTATAATTAGAAACCTCTTTTATAATCTCTTCGTCAGACATTTCATGAAAAACATTTTTCTCTTTATCCATTCCACGGCACCAGATTTCCAAATCTTCCGGACTTATCTGTGTTTTAGTAGCGACTTGTTCTATAACTTCCGAAGTAACACTGATTTGTGGAACGTTGCTAGGAGTGGTGACTATATCTGGCCATAACTTTTTCCAAGACGATTTAATAGTTGATGACGGTAACGCATTCCACGACTGACAAAGAGCAAACACCAAGTCTTTCATATTAAATTCTTTTAAAGTTTTTCCTATTGGTTGGTCTTTTGATACGGCTCTCAGAAGTAGGTTTTTCTTATAGTCTTGCTTGACAAACTGAATCATATTCTGGTCCATTGGTTGAATCAGTGCAGTGCAATTTGGCGGAAGAAACATCGCAGTGATGCATTTATCCTCAGTTGTTAGTTCTTCTTCAGACGGATGACCGGGAGCGTTATCAAGAAGCAACAACGCTTTTTGAAGAAAATTTTAACCATTTTTTTCAGGTACGAAGCATTCATCAAACCGCTTTCTGAAAAGGTCCGTAATAGTGTACAGGTAAATCAATGTTTTTGAATGCCCGTGGTTTATTAGATTTCCCAATGACCATCATCTGGTTCAAGTGGAAGAGCAGCGGGTTAAGTGGAAGAGCAGCTACAGCTGAACTTCGCCCGTATTTGGGTATTTTTTTATATAATCAGTCTATTTCGAAATAAAGACGTTTATTATTATTATTATTATTATTATTATTATCTTAAGCGCGTGTGTGCCAGCAGCGTTAGCACATGGTAGTATGGTTACACGCTCTTTACTTACTTTTCGTCCAGGTACGGATTTTTCGTTACAAGAAACGAAAGTTTTGTTAGGCATCACACGCCAAAAAAGCCCTGATTTGTCTGCATTGTACACCTGTGACGGGTCACGATTTAAATCGTTCACCTTTTGCAAAAATCTTAATTTAAAGGGCTCTATGCAGGTGGCATCGTTAGAAAGTTTCTCTCCTGCAATAATCATTAAACGTATGCCATTACGACTTTTAAAACGTTCTAGCCATCCTTTGCTGGCCACAAAATCATCTTTTTTTTGTTATTTCCTTATAAAAAAACTTAGTTTTCATGGCCGTCATGGGTCCTGAAATTGGTGCATGCCTATGTCTTTCCTGAAGAAACCACATGTACAAAGCTTCTTCCACTTCTGGATGTTCAGCTTTCCTGAGTGGTTTCTTTTAATGTCATACATTGTAGATCGGCCTACGCCGTATTCACTCGCTAAACTACTGAAAGTTTCATTGCGATTTAAGCGGTCTAAAATATCACATTTTTCTTTAATTGTCAATGTTTTGTGCTTTCGCTTCTGAGTTTGTGATGACATTACTAGGTACTATTCTTAATACACAATGAATAAATAGTAAACAATGAACGCACGCTAGGCCGTACCGCTATCACCAGTAGTCAAATTCAAACTAAGTAAAACAATGCTTACGCGTCGAGCACGATAGCGGTGGCGCGTACAAGTTGTAACCTGTTCAAACCTGCGTGATCTACATTAGCGAAGATTGTCAAATACGTATGTATGTAATACATATTCAATGACATGTCGGATTACAGGGGGCGCCGGGGGGCCGGATTATCGGGGGTCCATTGTAATTTTATGCAAATTCTATAAATGCGTTCACTCCAAATTTGACTCGACGCCCTTTACTTATCGGTAGCATCCGTGATAACTTTTAAACTCTATTATGCACGAGAAGTTTGCTATAGTCGAAATCACGAAAGATGACGATTACGTCATCATTTTAGTCTGTAGTAAAGACAAACGACAGCGATTTGTGAATATGTTTAATGAAGTTTCAGATATGCTAGACAGAGACAAACAGAATTTTATTGTCTAAACAAACTGTATTGCTAATATGCATATATCCGACAAAGATAGACGATGTTTTCATGTTGCATGATCGATCATATTTGAAAGATGAATAGTTAGAGGTTATGTTGTAGCAGGTTATGTTGTTGTCGAATAATACTTTGGTCTTTGGTGTTGCTGTCTTAAGGTATTCTAATCATAACTGTTTTTTTCAAAACAAAAACTCCGCACTAAGATTATTATAACTCAAAACCATGAAATAAAATGAAAACAAAAATAATCAGTGTAATAACCTATCTTCCCAAATCATAACATAAATTTGTTGTCATTATTCCTGATATCGTGATTTTATCATCGACGTACGTCCAATGATTACTTCAGTACAATTTATGGTATGACGTAATAGTCATCTTTCGTGATTCTGACTATAGTATATCATCAAGTTTAATTTATTTCATAAAATTACGATGCGCATTACAACCTGCCCCGTACCCGTGCGCACTATTAAATGCAAAAACAAGGCTGATGTACGATGGCACTAACATGACATTACACATTGAATTTTGATATTAACTTCTGAGTTATCATGCAACTTTCAAAGTTTCCATTGTCGTATTTTATTTGTCGATAATTGCAGTAATTTACGTTATTCGCAAAACAGTCATAGTGCGCACTATTTGCCGTCTGTCTCCGATCATACCACTGCGCCCCCCCAGTGCATATTGCCGACCGGGCCCTTTTCCTTAAATCCGCCACTGGTCGGTCAAAAAGTATTTCTTATCCAATTTGCTCTCAGCTTAGGCGCGCGCGAAGAAGTTTTTAATACATCAAGCTGACCGCATAGGCAACCAGTCTTGCGCTATCATCTATGAGCTTACAGTTAAATCATAGTTGACGGATACAGTGTTGCCAGTGTTTAGTAGAAAATACCAGTACGGCATCCATTTAATATGTGTGCATTACAGATTTATCTAAGAGATTCGGAACTTTAAAAATTGGTGGTCGAACTCCCGCCCTGGATCCGCGCCTGGCAAGTGTATGGTGATGACAGCTTATCTCGTAGACGCGTCCGCGTGTGGTTTACACGGTTCAAAGAGGGTCGTGAGTTGCTGGAACACGACGTACGTGTCGGCCAGCCAAAATTTGTGACTACGTCAGAAACTGGCGGAAAAGTTCGTGAATTTATCAAAAATGATGATTGAGATACATAGAAAGAGAATGAAATATCTCTAAAAATTCAATCCATCGCATTTTGACCAAGAATTTGGGCATGAGAAAGGTTTGTTCGCACAAGCTCACGGATGACCAAAAGTTGCTTCGAATTCAACATTAAAGAGGCCGAATAGACAAACACTGAAAGCAAGCCAAATCCGAAAAAAGCCATTTTGAAAAGTCCAGAGTGAAGACAGTGTTGATTTGTTTCTACGATTTATTCACAAAGAATTCCTTCCATCGGGGCAAACGTTTAATGCTGTGTTTTATCTTGGTGTTATGAAGCGTTTGCTGAGGCGTATTCGGCCAGAATATCATGAAGAAGGAAGCTGACGCTAATGCACTCATCGATCGACAAAAAATGGCATTTTAACCACTCAACCACTCCCCATATTCTCCTGATATGGCACCGTGTGACTATTTTCTGCCATGAAGGGACAGCGGTATGCCGACGAATAGGCCATCCAAAAGGCCTCGACGACCATTTTGAAGGACAAATAAAGCTATGAGAATCATTTTAAATAAAAACAAATATACTAGGATTAAGTGTATGTTAGAAGAACTGCAGTGGTTGTATGCGAAAATGTTCATATATTATTTAGTTCTTGTTTTCATATTCAAATTAAAAAATCATTTATTACCACCACATTTAAAGAACTTCACAAAATTAAATAGTCATTATCATAACTACGAAACTAGAGGCAGTATAGATTTTCATCTGCAAAATTGTAATAGTACTATAACTAGTAAATCTATATTTCAAATTTAATAAATTGAATAATGACATTAAACAGAGTTCGAATTTAAAAATGTTTAAGGTGAAATCAAAAAATCACTTTATGAATAATAAAATATTTAGTAGTCCAAATATTTGATAAAATCACCGTCTCAAAATATGTTTTTCCATCGCAATAATAGGAGATTCAAACGCTAATACCCATACGACCGCCAACATGGTGCTCATTCCAAAGTGGCCCCAGAATTCGTATAGCTGCAAAAACGATTTTATTAGTTTTCGACTGGAGCAAGAAATTGAAGTGCACTCACGAAATTGACGTCACTGAAATAGATGCCGCTTTTGTGGGAGAAGGTCTTTATTAAAATGACATTCAGGTGTACCAAGTAGAGGCTGTACGAAAATTTGCTCAGCACTTGTAGAGATGGGTGAGATAGGAAGGTGTTGATTATACCTACAATCAAGGGAAATGGAAAATAAACAATTTTATACCTGTAAACGTCAACGTATGTTTAAAAAAACAAGTAGCAAGCACACGCACAATCTGAAATTCTAAGATAATAGAAACTATTAAAGATCTTATTGCTTTATGTACAAGAGCTGCCTCAAAAATTTCCCCTCCATATTTTTTTTAGGCACAAGGAATTGTTTATTTGAAAAAATGAATGTACCATTGGAAAAATATAGTCGAAATCACGAAAGATGACGATTACGTCATAATTTTAGTCTGTAGTAAAGACAAACGATAGCGATTTGTGAATATATTTAATGAAGTTTCTGATATATTAGACAGAGACAAACAAAATTTTATTGTCTAAACAAACTGTATTGTTAATTTGTATGTGTCCGACATAGATAGACGATGTTTTCATGTTGCATGATCGATCATATTTGAAAGATGAATAGTTAGGTTATGTTAAAGCAGGTTATGTTGTTTTCGAATAATACTTTGATCTTTGGTGTTCCTGTCTTAAGGTATTCTACTCATAACTGTTTTTTTCAAAACAAAAACTCCCCTCTAAAATTATTATTAAGGTATAACTGAAAACCATGAAATAAAATGAAAATAAAAATAATCAGTGAAATAACCTAACTTCGCAAAATCATAATATAAATTTGTTGTCATTATGGTTCTGAGACGTGATTTTATCATCGACATACGTCCACTGATTACTTCAGTACAATTTATGGTATGACGTAATAGTCATCTTTCGTGATTTTGAATTTTGACTATATTGCCTGATAAATCACATATGGGCCGGAAAAAAAGGAAAACAGGTATAATTTATGTTTTTTCGGAAAACTAAGAGCTAGATTTCTAATATTGACAAAATAGCTAATCTATGAAGAATTTTTCGTTTCGAACCATTAAAATTTCGGAAAAAATAAATTGCTGCTAAGAACTTTGTATGTATCCGAGAAAGATAGACGATGAATAGTTAGGTTATGTTAAAGCAGGTTATGTTGTTTTCGAATGATACTTTGGTCTTTGGTGTTCCTGTCTTAAGGTATTCTACTCATAACTGTTTTTTTCGAAACAAAAACTCCCCACTCAAATTATTATTAAGGTATCACTCAAAACCATGAAATAAAATGAAAATAAAAATAATCAGTGAAATAACCTAACTTCGCAAAATCATAATATAAATTTGTTGTCATTGTGTTCCTGTTTCGTGATTTTATTATCGACGTACGCCATTGATTACTTCAGTTCAATTTATGGTATGACGTAATAGTCATCTTTCGCGATTCCAGTTTTTCACTCTCGATTCAAGAAAGTCAGCCGCCAACCAGCTTGGAAACTTGGTAGGGGTAGAGCATCTCTTATTTGCACTTACCTCCATATCCGCACGTGCAAGCTAATGTCACCCAGCAAATGCAGATTGCCCAGACTGGTCTTACGAAAGTGAGATACAGGACATTATCTAAAGCCTTGTACTCGAATCCCAACAAGGTATCGTGTCCAGCAAATACAAGACCGAGCATTATTGCTAAGAAAGCTCCCCAAAGGGACAAAATCACTATCTAGAAAAATATGAACAATTAGTAAAAAAATTAAAGTTTAATGGTCTGGTGTTTTTTTTTGAAAACAGAATAAGTACAGGGGCAAAATAAAAATTGTACAAGGCACAAAACATATGCATTTTAACCACCGGTCAATTTTAAAGAAAATTCATACAGAGTGGTCCACCGGAAGGGTCGCAACCCTATTTATGACTCTCCTGGTATATTCTGGGAAAAACGCAAGGACACGTCAATCTTGATTTCTAGTTGACGCCTTTTCATCTATAGCTGTACAATACAGGGTGATACAAAAAAGATATTTTTTATTTTCAGATTATTTTCATGAATGTTTTAGTAACTTTTATACAGGGTGACTTTGAAGTTGAGTCATTAATTTTCAGATAATGATTGTAGAAGGAAGATAAACCAAAATATGTGTGTAAAAATAAAAAAAAAAAATTACCTTGTTTTATAAAGTATCCTCCCGACAAGTATTTCAGTGCGGACCTGTATTTGATCGTGAGGTCTTGGAGCACCGGCATGCCGTCCCCTGTGAGGTCTTAAGTCACCTGATTCACGAGCCCGTTGTACTACATTAACAAAGGCACGAGGGGTTGGTTGCACTCGATTGGGAAACCGATCCGCATAAACATGTGCCATTTTTGATTTTGTTTGAGCCACGCAACAGACACCACTATTCACTCACGCGTTACCGACTGACACTGACTGTATACTTATACAACTGAATAAAATAATTGTAAAAACATCGTTCCAAATTCTTTCGCTTTTTTGTTTCCGATGCGATGAACCGATAAGGCGGATTATATCCGTTGTCGCCAAACACGAGCACATAATATTATTATTGAGACAGAGCGGTACTCAAACTTCCAAAGGGCTATAACTTTGTTACTTTAATTTTACCAGAAAAATGGTAAAGGAAAAAACATTTCTTTTGATCAGATCTACTCACTGTTAAAATAAATGATTCAACTTCGAAGTCACCCTGTATAATAAAGATCATATCTATTTTCAATCGTTGTGAAGCTATTTGAGTTTATAATAAGTCTAGAAATTGTGATAATGAGGAATTATATCGTAAAAGTACACTTAACTTGGGTCATAGATAAAATATTTTGCAAAATGAAATTTTGAACATGCATGCATTGAAAATTATTGCTTATACATATCGCCTACCTTTGGCAGCCTCGGAAAAGGTACCTCATTGCTTTTAACTTTGTATAAAATATACCCTGCGCATATGCCTATCAAATAGGGGGTCGCTCTTGTATGTGTTTTTAAATAATATTTTTCGGAATAATCTGTAGTTTTTGTGCTGAAATTAAAAATTTATTGTATTAACATTCATACAATGAACCAATCACTTCCTTTATACAGGGTGGCACATCGAAAGCGAAACAGACGCATTTAGTGGCAGCTAAGCGGGGGTGACACCACCCCCAAAATCTTAAATGGAAAGGGGGGTCGAATGATACCTTATTTTGAAGGTCTTTCAATTCCCTTTATAATGATATAAAATTAGTGTACTTCAGTTCGGTAGTTTTGAAGATTTATTGATTTAAAGCTTAAATAAAACTGATACATCATCATTAGTATTGCAATATTTGAGGAGTAATTTGAAGGCACTCATTCACAATTCTTTGTCGCGGGTCTTCTAATGATGTTGGCTGAGTAGCATAGATTTTGCTTTTTAAATGACCCCACCTAAAGAAATCCAAAGGTGATAAATCTGGCGATCTTGGGGGCCATTCAATGGCACCTCTTCTACCAATCCATCGATCTGGAAACGTCTGATCTAAATATTGTCGAACACGTAATGCGTAATGTGGTGGGGCACCATCCTGTATGTATTTTACATCATTATAAAGGGAATTGAAAGACCTTTAAAATAAGGTATCACTCGACCCCCCTTTCCATTTAAGATTTTGGGGGTGGTGTCACCCCCGCCCAGGGGGCTGCACGTGTTAACATGTTTTTTGCCAAACTTGTGTCCGCCTCGAAAACAAAACCGACGGGTCCGAGAGTTTTTCAAAAAAAAAACTGAGCTGCCAGTAAACGCGTCTGTTTCGTTTTCGATGCGCCACCCTGTATATAAACCTTGCCTACCAGCAAGATAAAAAGATAATAAAAGCATAAGGGACGATAAATATTATTCACTTACAGCATCAATGGTGAAATCATAAGTGCCGGTATTTCGTAATGGTAAACGATAACGGACAGTACTACAAAAGAGGCAAGGATTGCTGCTATCAGTATGCCTAGTCCGTATTTAGGATATTTCCATAGTGGTATCAATATTATTGGAGATAGTACGTACAACTGAAAGTCGACGCTGAGGTACCAAGTGTGGGTTAAGCACTGGAAATCAAATTGAATTCTTAACTATATGATACTTGACAAATTTTTAAGTAAAGTAAAAAGTTACTATTAGATCTAAAAAATTCATACTACATTTTTTGGACCTAGAAGACCGTACAACTTTTATCTTAAAATATACTTAATGTTTAATAGATTTTGTTTCTGAATTCTTACCATACTGTCGCTGTGGACATAGTTTTGTATGTACAGCAAAGAGCTCCACCAATGCTTATTGCACGTATCTGTAAAAAATTGGACTCCCATATTCCAGTGCGGTCCGCTTCCTAAGAACTCTAATATGGTTACAGTACTGAAGACGAGTATGATCAAAGCAGGTGTCAATCTACAAAAAAAAAGAAACTGCAAACGTTATAAACGAGGTTATTCATTATGATTGATTGTTCGACCATCTACTACTGTAATATAGGGTGTTAGGGAAATATTCGTAACTTTAGTAGGTGATTATTCTAAGCAAAAAAGTTAATTATAACTTATGTCCGAAAATCAATCGTTTTCGAGGAAAGTGAGTCGTAAATAATTAAATTTTCTCAAAAACTTGGCAACGCTGCAACGCAAGCGCGATACGAGCGCACGCGTTTGTATGATATTTTTGTTGAAAATATGCATTGAATTATTGAATATTTTTACCTATTTTTTTTCTAATATTTTTTATTTAATAACGCTTTCAGTACAGTACATTTACTTAAAAAAATTACAGAACTTAGCGATACACACCACCAATTCCCACGATTATCAGTCACTTATACTAAGTGACATATAAATCCGAACACCCAGTTTAAATGGTTTTATTTTAATAAAATTTTGTATAAGTACTTAATGAAGCATAATAAGTAAATGATAAACATTTCAAAATGTCCTCAATGTCCTCCTGTGGTATCTCATTCAAGGCAACCAACAACTCCTCTCGAAGTGCTTCTAGAGTCTGAGGAGGACGTTGCAAATTGAGCAATCTCCTACCCATCATATTCCACACGTGCTCAATTGGGGATAAGTCGGGAGATCTTGGTGGCCATGGTAACAATGTGACATCATTATGTTGAAAGAAGTCTATTGTGACTCTTGCAACATGTGGTCGGGCATTATTTTGTTGGAAAGTTGGATCTGCCAGGGTGTCAAGATAGGGTAAAAGATGGGGTTCTAGAACTTCGTGGATATAACGCTGCACGTTCATGTTACCTCTTATGAAGATTAAAGGTGACCTGGAACCATAAGCTATAGCACCCCAAACCATAACTCCAACAGTGTGATGAACATGTCTTTCAACAAAAAACTGTGGATTCCTCCTTTCACCACGTCGCCTTCTAACCCTGGCACGACCATCGTGCATGCCTAAACAAAATCAAGACTCGTCACTAAAGACAATACTGTTCCATTCCTGATCCCAGAGTGACCGTTGTCTGCACCACTCAAGGCGATTACGTCGGTGTTCTCGAGTTAAAGGGATGACCCAGTGTGGCCGGTATGAAAACAAGCCAAAACTTCTCATTCGTCGGTAAACACTTCGCATGCCAATAGGTCTTCCGTGTTCTGCAAACCATTCATTTGCAATGGACCTGGTAGTGGAGAAACGGTCCCTTAAGGCCAATAATCTTAGGCGGCGATCTTCACGGTCTGTTGTTCTACGGCGGCGTCCAGTGCCCCTTGCTCTTTGCGTACGGCCTTCTCGAAACCATGCCTGACAATACCTAACCACAGTGTCTACACTTCTTTACACTCTAACTGCAATTGCCCGAAAAGAAAGTCCAGCTTCCCGAAGTCCCACTATACGGTCCCTATCAAACTCAATAAGTTGACGAAATTGTACAGGTCTCCGTACTCTAGGCATCGTAACCGATCGTAAAGGATGTCAAGAACCAAAATCCGCCAACGTTGATTCTTTACTGCGGCTGAAATATTCATTTTTAGAGCGTTAGTGAATTAAAAAAAAGCAGTATAAAAACCGGAATGTCCAACTGATAAGGCTGAAAATTTTTTCACTTGTTATTTACAGTAAGATAAATTCATTCACCAACTTTTATTAAAATAAAACCATTTAAACTGGGTGTTCGGACTTATATGTCACTTAGTATATTTGAAACGATGCGATGTACGACAAAAGAAAAAAAAAACAAGATTCGTAAATCACATAAAGGTACATGGTACAGTTAAATGTAATCACAACGACACGCGATGATACATGCAGTGCAGGCAGAGTAGGACGTTGCCAGTTGTGTGAGGGATTTTGTTTGTCTGTGTTTCTTCGGAAAAATGTATTTAATAAGCAAGAAAATTATTTTGTTGGAGACGGTTAATTAATAAATGGATGTATTGATACATTTTACGCTATCAGGCATATGAATTTAAATTATTAAGGTGCAAAATTAATTTATTTAATGACTAAAAAGAAACAAACATTTTTTCGCTCCGAAACGGTCGATTTTCGGACATAGGTTATAATGAAACTTTTTGCTTAGAATAATGCAAGGAATCACCTCTTAAAGAATATTATTTCCCTAATACCCTCCATAAACTCTTTGTAATTAAAGATTATTTTCTACTTTTTATTTCGCTTAGCTATAAAAGCTTGTTTTTTAAACTATTATTTATTTTCCATTTTTTTGTCGATTTATCAATTAGTTTTTTGTGGACATGTATTGAAATGTCTTACGAATCATTTCATTTAAAGCTTCACTGTTGCATGCCGTTTTTCCTGTTAACTTAGATCAATCAAGTTCTTCAATCCGAATACCGTCTAAAGATCCTACACGATTAAGTGCTACATAAGCTTGTCCAGCAGCCGCGAGCCTAGATAAATAATGATTAATTAATGATAATGATAATGAATAAAAAATAATTTGGATGTGGACTAAAACACTGGATTCCAAACAAAGAAATACACTAATTTATTTAACTTGACTAGACACACACACTATTTATGTCTGACTAATTCTTATGTCGCGCCATTGACTGAACTATACTCCACTTCGCTCTACTCTACTCTGTTTCCCTCTCCCGGCCGTCGAGTTATATAGTCCGCATCGTGGGTCGAGAAGATTCCTTCGCGTCGATCTAGAAGGCGAGTCACTGGCACGGTCCTCAACAGATGTCGCCAGCGGCATGTGCGATCGTGATCCGCGTAAAAACAGAGATTGGCCATGAAGCTCTGGCGAGTAGGAGAGTCTCCCAACAGATGGTGCCAGTCAGTACTATTCGTCGTTGTTACAATATGTTAACTTTTAAAATAAGCCAGCATAAACTGCGATTCTGGCAATAGAAGGCACCTTGTACTGTCTTCTGTCGATAGACCTCAGATAGAGGTTAGTTGCTAAGCTATCGTTCGTTGTCCTGGCCTGCGAAAATGTCTTCAAAATCGGTGCAAAAGCACTGAGATTACGCTTTGATAATCCAACGGAAATGGCTATAATGCGTTTTAATAAAATATCACTTGTTTTAAAAATATTTTTGGGTTGTCGGACTCACCTCATGTATCTGTGCAGGTAAAACGTAAGAATATTAAATTTGTTCGTTTTATGCAAGGCTTTCATGGTAGTATATGTTAAAAGCAAGCCTGACAAACAGAAAAATGTGTCGACTGCGAACACTCCGGCATGTACCACCATTCCTTTCAAGCTGTTTATGTACTAAAATAAATAATATTAAGTGCTAATATGCTAATAGAAAGAAATTCTGGTTCAAATGAAAAGCTTGAATGGATTCTCTAGAGGATCATTTACGGAAAAACGATTTTTTTTCAATCTTCATATGGGCAGAAAAAAGGGCCGTATTTCAAATATTGAGCGTAACTCTTACACGCACAATATCCCAGGAAAATTTCACTTTGATCTACTAATACGTATTTTTTATTTTGTACAATCAAAAATTGGAAGAAATTAAAGGATTACGTTTATTGTTGCTTAAAACGTTCAAATTTTTAAAAAGATATATTTCAAAAGGTTTGATACTTATTGCGAGAAAAATGTGGAAAAAGCACAAAAACTTCTGTTTCAAAGTTCTTAGCAGCAATTTATTTTTTCCGAAATTTTAATGGTTCAAAACGAAAAATTCTTCATAGATTAGCTATTTTGTCAATAATAGACATCTAGCTTTTAGTTTTCCGAAAAAACATAAATTATATCTGTTTTCCTTTTTTTCCGGTCCATATGTGATTTATCAGGCAATATAGTCAAAATCACGAAAGATGACTATTACGTCATACCATAAATTTTATTGAAGTAATCAGTGGACGTACGTCGATGATAAAATCACGAGTCAGAAACATAATGACAACAAATTTATATTATGATTTTGCGAAGTTAGGTTATTTCACTGACTATTGTTATTTTCATTTTATTTCATGGTTTTGAGTGATACCTTAATAATAATGTTAATCTGGAGTTTTTGTTTTGAAAAAAAAACAGTTTTAAGTCGAATACCTTAAGACAGGAACACCAAAGACCCAAATTATTATTCGAAAACAACATAACCTGCTTCAACATAACCTAACTATTCATCTTTCAAATATGATCGATCATGCAACATGAAAACATCGTCTATCTTTGCCGGATACTTGCAAATTAGCAATACATTTTGTTTAGACAATAAAATTACGTTTGTCTCTGTCTTTGTCTGTCTTGCTGATGGAAAGAAATTCTGGTTCAAATGAAAAGCTTGAATGGATTCTCTAGAGGATCATTTACGGAAAACAATTTTTTTTCAATCTTCATATGGGCTGAAAAAAGGGCCAAATTTCAAAAATTGAGCGTAACTCTTACACGCACAATAACCCAGGAAAATTTCACTTTGATCTACTAAGACGTATTTTCTATTTTGTACAATCAAAAATTGGAAGAAATTAAAGGATTACGTTTATTGTTGCTTAAAACTTTAAAGCGTAAAACGATTTTTTAAGCTTACGCATTTTCTTTAAAAAACGTTCAAATTTTTAAAAACATATATTTCAAAAGGTTTGATACTTATTGCGAGAAAAATGTGGGAAAAGCACAAAAACTTGTTTTCTGTTTCAAAGTTCTTAGCAGCAATTTATTTTTTCCGAAATTTTAATGGTTCAAAACGAAAAATTCTTCATAGATTAGCTATTTGTCAATAATAGAAATCTAGCTCTCAGTTTTCCGAAAAAACGTAAATTATACCGGTTTTCCTTTTTTTCCGGTCCATATGTGATTTATCAGGCAATATAGTCAAAATCACGAAAGATGACTGTTACGTCATACCATAAATTGTACTGAAGTAATCAGTGGACGTACGTCGATGATAAAATCACGAGTCAGAAACACAATGACAACAAACTTACATTCTGATTTTGCGAAGTTAGGTTATTTCACTGATTACTTTTATTTTCATTTTATTTCATGGTTTTGAGTGATACCTTAATAATAATGTTAGTCTGGAGTTTTTGTTTTAAAAAAAAAAAACAGTTTTAAGTCGAATACCTTAAGACAGGAACACCAAAGACCCAAATTATTATTCGAAAACAACATAACCTGCTTCAACATAACCTAACTATTCATCTTTTCAATATAATCGATCATGCAACATGAAAACATCGTCTATCTTTGTCGGATATGCAAATTAGCAATACAGTTTGTTTAGACAATAAAATTTTGTTTGTCTCTGTCTAACATATCAGAAACTTCATTAAATATATTCACAAATCGCTGTCGTTTGTCTATACTACAGACTAAAATGATGACGTAATCGTCATCTTTCGTGATTTCGATAATTTGCACGTATCCGACAAGGATAGACGGTGTTTTCATGTTTCATGATCGATCATATTTGATAGATGAATAATATGGTTATGTTAAAGCAGGTTAGGTTGTTTTCTAATAATACTTTAGTCTTTGGTGTTCCTGTCTTAAGGTATTCTACCCATAACTGTTTTTTCAAAACAAAAACTCCCCTCTAAAATTATTATTAAGGTATAACTCAAAACCATGAAGTAAAATGAGAATAAAAATAATCAGTGAAATAACCTAACTTCACAAAATCATAATATAGATTTGCTGTCATTATGTTTCTGACATCGTGATTTTATCATCGACGTACATCCATTGATTACTTCAGTACAATTTATGGTATGACGTAATAGTCATCCTTAAGGATTTTGACTATATAACAATAGCGCTTGACAACCAAAAATCAGTACCTCTCATACTTCTTGACTTTACTAAAGGATTTGATTCAATTAATCATTCACTTCTTGTGTCTAGATGCAGTTATTATGGATTTTCTGAAAACCGCACCAAACTGTCACTCGACGACGAGGGTTGTCTAATGCCCAGATTCGATAATTCTGCTTATTAACAAATCCGTTCATATCGAAGTTTGCTTCATCGCTCATTATCAGTTGTCGGTAAAAATCGTTATTTTTGGTATGAAGCTGCAATATTGCATGAATGTATTGTCGGCGACTTTCATGATCACTAGGCTGTAGTTCTTGGGTTAACTGAATTTTGTATGTCCGCGAATGCAAGTCTTAGCGCATAATGACGTGCGACGAATACCCAGTTCTTGAGAACGATGTCTGGTAGACGTCTCAGGGCGCCCCACTATACTTTCACGAACTGTCTCGATATTTCCCGGAGTACGAACAGTTCGAACACGGCCCGACCTTGGCAAGTCTTTAACTTCACCTGATTGCTCAAATTTCCGCACGAATGGTGTTGACACTGGGCACATTTCGACCGAAATCTAGCTACCGAATCAAAAATGGCGCGCAATTTAAATCAGTCATATATTGGCCACCCTGTATATCCCAGGTTTAGAAACAGAGTGATAACTTGGAAATAGCTAATAAATTGAAAATTAGTGAGTGTTAACTGACCTTGTTTTCTTTATGCCTTAATTATTAATTATTATTTTATGAAGGATCAAGAAAAATCGCTTTTTTTTTTCGTGAATAATTGATTCTTTCAGAAAATCTATTCCAACTTTTGAAACAATCTCTTAACTTTCAGTACGATGATTGGTTCCTAACATATCGATAATCAAAGCTGAAAGGATCATTTCTTATTAAAAATTCGAAATCTCAGCAAGAAATGGTCCAATCGAAGAGAACATTGAATTGCGACGAATCTGCAGCTTCAAACATTGTTTACACGATCCAAAAAACTAGACAATTGAAGCGTTAAAATGCTTCTCATTGACCATCGTTTTTGATCCCGTAATTTTTCCATTAGTGTATTATTGATCTACAAATATTTTTATGAGAATTAACTTCTGTTGTTGAATACGTTCCGATAGATTTGCTTTATAACCGCCGACATCAAAGATAAGACGATATTTTGAAATTATGAAAGTTCTTGGTATACTTACTGACACAGCATCAAAAAAGTTTACCAACGGACTCATACATAGTGCACAAAAAGTGTGTCCATACACAACCCAGATCATACTGAACACCTTTATCCCGTTGACGCATGACAGTTCAGAAGGTTTCGTTTCCAATATTTTCTTGCCATTTGTGTATACTGAGTAGGCGAGTAGTAAAGGTATTGGCTCTGGAATAAAGATTAGGTACTTCGATATTATTTAAGAAAACATTATAGTCTGGGTGCTTCAATTTCGAATTTATTTCTTCTCATAAACATCATTTTGCAGAGATAAATAGAGTGTTTGGTTCTTATTCCACAAATATACAGGGTGTTAATAAAGTGTGTAGACAAACTTTAACCATCGTATCCTTGGTCAATTTGAAGACTCAATGTTCATATGAACATGCATCCGTAACGGCTTTCTTTTCGAGCTAGAGCACTATCACTAAAGAAATACGGGTAATGTTTCAAATAGTATAGTCGAAATCAAGAAAGATGACGATTACGGCATCACTCTAGACTGTAGTAAAGACAAACGACAGCGATTTGCGAATATATTTAATGAAGATTCTGATATGTTAGACATAGACGATGAATAGTTAGGTTATGTTAAAGCAGGTTATGTTGTTTTCGAATAATACTTTGGTCTTTGGTGTTTCTGTCTTAAGGTATTCTACTCATAACTGTTTTTTTCTTAACAAAAACTCCCCACTAAAATTATCATTAAGGTATCACTCAAAACCATGAAATAAAATGAAAATAAAAATAATCAGTGAAATAACCTAACTTCGCAAAATCATAATATAAATTTGTTGTCATTGTGTTTCTGACTCGTGATTTTATCATCGACGTATACTTTATCTGACGTCACTTGAAACACTGTGAAATACCGGGTGCGTTTTATATATCTATATTTAACACGCTCTGTTGCTGCAAAAATCGCCAAATTTCGCAGCAAAGATCAAAGGCAGTTTCACCGGTCCACGTGGAGTAAAGCACGCCTATGCGTGGACATAGCCAATGAGAAAGCGTGTATTTCAGAGCTCCGAAAAAGTGCAGGTGGCTACTGAAAATTGAAACAGTTTAGCCAGTGCCGTGTAGCGGTGAATAAACGTGTTTTCTTTAGTCTGTCCGTGTTTTTTCATAGATTTTATTAGTTTGTGTGTTTTTGACTTTTGAATACTCAGTTTACTTGTTGATTTAATTGTTGTGTTGATTGTTCTTGTGTGTCCTAAATATGGCTCTTTGGAGACCTTGGGAAAATGCTCCAAGCCACGAGGAGATGGTTGATGAACCTGTGCAGGCAGAATTCTTTCATAAAGATTTAGAGGAACAGACCCAAAGAGTGGTGCCCACGTTGGAAATGATACGGGATAAATTAAAAGATTATCCTGAAGATTTTTATAATTACAAATGCTTAGACTCACTGCATTGTATTGTAAAACTGTGTGGTTTTCAATACAAAAAATTAGATAAAAGAATGATGATTATGGAGTCGTCTCGAATCGTTGAATTGCGCCAAGAATTTTTGCACAAAGTTAAAATCTATAGAGAGCAGAAAAGAAATCTGATTTACCTGGATGAAACGTGGTATGATACCCACGATGTTGTGCAGTACGGCTGGGTTGACGACAGCAACAAGTGCATTTTAAATGCACCATGCAACCGTGGAAAACGAATCATTATTCTCCATGCTGGCAGTGAAAATGGATTTATACCTAATGCCTTGCTGTTATCTGCCAAAAATATCAAAGAATCATGTGCCGACTATCATGAGGACATGACCTCCGACTTATTTGAAAAGTGGATAGAGCAGCAGTTGATACCAAACATTTCCCCAAATTCAGTGATTATTATGGACAATGCGCCATACCATTCCCGACAGAAAAACAAGATTCCGAATACAGGCACAAAAAAACAAGACATTATTGATTTTATGAAGGATAAGGGAATGGAAATACCACAAAAATCAACCAAAGCCATATTACTGGATCTTATTAAAAGACAAAAATTTGAAAAAGAGTATGTTGTTGACAATCTGCTTCAGCAAAATGGCCATGAAGTATTACGTCTACCTCCCTATTACTGCATTTTTAACCCGATTGAGCTGGCCTGGGCTGATTTAAAAAAAAAGTAAGAAAACATAATCAGACCCCTCAATTAAGTGAATCGCTATTGGCCACAATAAGAGATGCAGTATCTCATATTGCTGCCACAGACCTATGGAAGCAGTGTTCTAGGCATATTATTGAAAAAGAAAATGAATATTGTGTTTTGCCTCCTGTAAATCCCGTTGTAATTCCTCTACAAGATGACTCTAGCGACAGCTCCGAAGGCGAGGATGATATATAAATACCTATAATGTAAGTCTTTATATACCTTTTTATATACCTACCTGCTATGTAAATATTTGCCTATGTCAAACGTTGGAATTCTGTAATTTTTCCATTTCTTAACTTTCAGTCAACATAAATTAAACTCCCAATATAAGTATTTTTTATCCCAAATCAAAAAAATAAGAAGATAGTAAAATCCATTTATTGTGATATAAAAACATTATTATTATCGTTCTAAATAAATGCCGCACGCCTATGATACGTCATGAAATTACAAAGGACGCGCCGACCAAAGGTTTTTATGCTATTTCAAGTGACTTCAGATATACCATACATGTAGGGTTTGAAAACAACTGTAAATCATGTGATATTCACCACAGGGCATACTTAGTTAAAATAAAATACGTTCCATTCTTTTATAATTTTTAGAACAGTATCACCATTTGTTTCAGTGCTAATATGCTCTAGCTTGAAAACAAAGCCGTTGCGGAGTCATGTTCATATGGAAATTTCGTCTTCAAATTGACCAAGGATTCGATGGTTAAAGTTTGTGTACACACTTTATTAATACCCTGTATAATATGCCATACAATGACATCGCCAAACCTTAGTTATTTCAACCAACAGAATTTTCTAAATATGTCTTGGAATTACCGCTTAGTCACCTGTTTCACAGTATCATCAGCCAAGCATTCCTCCATTGATAGGAGGTCAAACTTTTCATGAAATTTTATTTGAAAGAAAACTTACTTTTTTCGATATGTCGGCAATACAAATCATACGAAGTCGATGCTAGCATGAGTAACCCAATCAATGAAATGATTACGCTGAAAAAAAATACGATTTCAATTCAAGCAGACTAAAAACGTCTAACATAAGGCATACATGAAAATGATAGCTCCTGTAGATAGAGGTCTCTCTATGTCCTCTTTGGTAATACATTGAAAAGAGGACCACTCGAATATTTTTATCATTTTGTTGATTTCTTCCGTAGAGCACTGGTGTGGGAGACATACGGCGATTGGGAAACCCAAACCGGTTTTGGCCTGTACGATCGGTTGAGACATTTTCCCCTGAAACTGAGTTAGGGTCATAATCATCCTACTAAAATTATTTTCGCCTCTACAGGGGGCTTTCTGCAGATATTGTAATAATTTCCTGGACTTTGTCGATTTTGATGTTATACATCGTACAGTACTTGAAATTATCGTAAAGGAACGATAATTATCGTACGTCTGGCAACGCTGAGCAGCGAATATGTGAACTCAATTGTTTTTACTTGACTATGAATTGCTTGCCTACTGGGACGAGAATTACGACCAAAAATTGGCGGCAACTCTCTCAAAGTTGCGTTCACCGACTCGGAATTTCGGTAGTAAATTTTAATTATCTGTAAGCGTTGTTCGTTCGTGTACTTCACCATGATGAAAATGTTTTCTTTACGGAATGTTTTGACGTTGGCAGTTCGGTGATTGATTTAAAGGTGCGTAGACAGTGAAAGTTCAAAGTTGTCAAGTTCCTATTGGAAAACCCGATACAACTAATCGGAACCAAAGACTCGTATTGAAAACCATATACAATAACACAAAAAGTTTGCCAGATTTAGATGAACGATCTTTTATTATTTCTTTTATTATGCAAGGTTTATACAGGTGATTTTTGCTGTATCAACTTCTTTTGACGAGTTCCTACAAGCAGTTAAAATAAATGACTCAATTTTGAAAGCACCCTGTTTATCCAGAAGGCACTATACTATAACTATCTAAAACTGTAATGACTCATCGATGTTCACGTGAACATCACTTAACTACCAGTAGTCGGCTGTTCATAGGCGGGGTATGAATGTTTAACATGGGTGAACTAGATTTGTCACATGCTTAATAAAGAGTGGTTTGAAACATATTGTAAGTAAAAAATTTGGGAATTACCTTTATTCATCGTCGCTTCCACTTACATCTGACAGAAATAAACTGTCGCTATCGCTTTCCTCGTTGAAATTGACTATAACTGGCTCTATGATGGTGTCGATGAGGTGGTCAAGCTGCCACATTTTTGTTTCTTCCTTCACAACATGACGGATAGCATTCTGCCAAGCTTCGGGCGTTACTAGCTGTATGGAAGTCTCAAGTAAAACCTTAACGTCTGGTAATTTGAAGGTTGTGTTATGGCGCGCAATATAACCCTTCACTTGAGCCCAGATGAGCTCTATTGGGTTCAGTTCACAGTGGTAGGGAGGTAACCGCAGCACAGTGACACCACATTGACGGGCCATCTCATCAGTCACGTAACTAATGTTCGCAGGTTTGTGCTGTTTAATTTTTTCATACAATTCCGCTTTCACACATGAATCGTCAAACGGGATTCCTTTTTCGCGCAACCACTGCTGCATGTCACTTTTTCGAGATCCCATAGTCGGTACACGTTCGGCTCGACGACTATGGTAGGAAGCATTATCCATGACGATCACAGAGTTGGGCTCAACTCGCTGAAGCACCCCTTGAAACCAGCTCTCGAAGCAGCTGGCATTCATTTCGTCATGGTAATCACCTCCTTTCTTAGAGACGAAAATCAAGTCACACTCTTCTAAAAAGCCACTATCGCTACCAATATGAGTTACGATCAATCTTTGACCTTTCCCTGACGGTCAACGAAGACCTGTTGACAAACCTTCAATGCTTGCTTGTCGGTTACTCACTACGTTTTTGTCTATCCAGGTTTTTTTAACTGTGTGACCTGCATTTACCCATGTCTCGTCCAAATAATAGATTTTTCTGCTTTGTCGCCTATATTCAATCATTTCGCGTAGGTATTTTCGACGCCAGGCGACTATTTCAGGTCTCTCTATCAATACTGACTTCCGATTACGCGTTTCGTAACGAAAATTAATTTCGTGCAGGGATTTCCTCATTACCTCGACGCTCATTTGGGGTATAATTTCATTTTCCTTGATCGCTGTATGTACAGCCTTGAGGGTTGGTATCTGATTCCTAAAGAAGAATGAATGTACGGTTCGCCTTAACGCCATTTTGCTATCGTCATACAATTTAACGTCCTTTCGTCCCTTCAAATTAAACTTTGGATCAGTAGTAGCTCCAGTTTTCTTCTTTTCATGCACCACCCTGCGAATGGTCCACTCTGGAACGCCTGTCATACTTTCACAACGCGCGAGTGCATCTCCCTGCGACATAGTTCTGTTCAGATAATTGAACACGTTGAGCACGATTTCTTTCGCGTCCCTCTTCAGTGCTTTACGAAGCCGTCTACTTGTTCCCTGGCTTCCAGTACTTCCACTCGTGCCATTTGTACTCTCCATGGTTAAGTATAACCAAAACAGTAACCACAGAAACCACAACAATAACAATCACACAACAATTCTTATAAAAACACACAATATGCGATCGCTCAACGAAACACGTTCCAATGCGTTGCCGACGCCTATGAGTCTGCCGGTCGAGGCGCGTCTTTGGTTTCATTGGTTCTACCGGCGGAGAACAATCAGCCATTATTTCCATCTCTGTCTGTGCTGTTGACCACCGCAAAGCCACAGAAACGAGCTCTGATCACGTGTTGATCACGCGTATGAGTCATTACAGTTTTAAATAGTTGTAGTATAAACATTGTTATCTCTCTAATAAAGCAATTACAGTCGTTACCATTCATTTGCTTTTTATAAGTTCTATAATTCTAATCTACAATACCCTATACATTTTAAGTAATGGTGAACGCTTATAATTATATTGCACATTCACCATATATTGAACTTCTAGAGCACCAAGTTTAATCACGTTTATATACATATAGTCAAAATCACGAAAGATGACTATTACGTCATACCACAAATTAAGTAATCAATGGACGTACGTCGATGATAAAATCGCGAGTCAGAAACATAATGATAACAAATTTATATTATAATTAGTTAGGTTATTTCACTAATTATTTTTATTTTCATTTTATTTCATGGTTTTGAGTGATACCTTGATAATAATTTTAGTGGGGAGTTTTTGTTTTGAAAAAACAGTTATAAGTAGAATATCTTAAGACAGGAACACCAAAGACCAAAGTATTATTCGAAAACAACATAACCTGCTTTAACATAACCTAACTATTCATCTTTCAAATATGATCGATCATGCAACATGAAAATATCGTCTGTCTTTGTCGGATACATGCAAATTTGCAATACAGTTTGTTTAGGCCCGTATCGTCAGTCGTCCCTACAATTGTAGGGCGCGTTTATGGCCTCCTTGATTGTCATACTCCTTTCTTTCATTCAAAAATGTCTAGATTACACTTGTCCCGTGTCAGCGTCACCGCTCTCCTATTGTGAAGATTTGTTTTCTTTTTAAATTGTAGGAAATTTCAGGCTGATAAAACATGATATAACTCAAAAGCAAGCACAATTTGATGCAAATAGATGTTTGTGACATAACCTCAAAATAGAGTTCTGACACGGAGAAGTAGAAAACTATGACAATCAAGGAGGCCATAAACGCGCCCTACAATTGTAGGGACGACTGATGATACGGGCCTTAGACAATAAAATTCTGTTTGTCTCTGTCTAACACATCAGAAACTTCATTAAATATATTCACAAATCGCTGTCGTTTGTCTTTACTACAGACTAAAATGATGACGTAATCGTCATCTTTCGTGATTTCGACTATAAGGTTTTTATAACACGTGTGATGCATACTATAATAATGATATTTATTCATTGATGGTAAAAGTATCAAGATATGAACGTCTACCGGCACGAGTATTATGTAAAAAAACCTATAAAATGTAAAAAAAATAATTATAAAATGTCATCTTGCAGACTAGGTAGTTTTTAGGGAGCAAATAGTCATTCCACGTTTGCTCTCTAGAATCGTTGTAAGCGATCATCTAAGGACGAATGACTCAACTACACGCATTGTTGGTTGCATATGTTTTGTGAAGCCGAGTAGCATGTAGTTTTCAGCTCTGAGAAGAAAGTTGGTTGAATAGCAAGATCGCATCTGGATGATTATGTGTATAGTCTGCATGCAATCAGTGATATTTAACTTATCATCAACACATATTATTAGCACACAAATCCGCACTATTCATCTATGCTTTGCCGTTACCAACTTACAGCTAAGACCTCCAGTAATGCCATCTAGGAAGCAGATTTTACATCACATCAGACCCAAACGTTGATGACGTTTAGGCAACACGTACAACTACAAAACGAGTTCACAACGTGTCCATCAGCTAGAGCTAAGTTAACATCTTGTAGAAAGACTCACACAGTGTCACAAAAAACAATGTAATGCCAAAAAAATCGACATAATGTCACTTTTCGAGATACGTAATACCCATGCTGGAAAAGGCGAGATCTAGGAAACCTGGAGTAGTATTTTGTGAAAGAATCTGGCGATTCGGATTTTAAGTATTGAGGGACAGTATTATACAGGGTGACTTTGAAGTTGAGTCATTAATTTTCAGATAATGATTGTAGAAGGAAGATAAACCAAAATATGTGTGTAAAAATAAAAAAAAATAAAAAAAAATTTACCTTGTTTTATAAAGTATCCTCCCGACAAGTATTTCAGTGCGGACCTGTATTTGATCGTGAGGTCCCCTGTGAGGTCTTAAGTCACCTGATTCACGAGCCCGTTGTACTACATTAACAAAGGCACGAGGGGTTGGTTGCACTCGATTGGGAAACCGATCCGCATAAACATGTGCCATTTTTTATTTCATTTGAGCCACGCAACAGACACTATTCACACGCGTTTCCGACTGACACTGACTGTATACTTATACAACTGAATAAAATAATTGTAAAAACATCGTTCCAAATTCTATCGCTTTTTTGTTTCCGATGCGATGAACCGATAGGGCGGATTATATCCGTTGTTGCCAAACACATAATATTATTATTGAGACAGGGCGGTACTCAAACTTCCAAAGGGCTATAACTTTGTTACTTTAATCTTACCAGAAAAATGGTAAAGGAAAAAAACATTTCTTTTGATCAGATCTACTCACTGTTAAAATAAATGACTCAACTTCGAAGTCACCCTGTATGTTTTGGAGATATTGAAAAAAATGATGATGAGAGCAGGTGGTATGATTGTAGTTTTAGGCCTTCTGCTCAGTTTGTATTGTATTTGAAGGAGTTTTCATGGTCGCAACCTTATGATAACAGCATGCTCTGTGCAGTTCTCGTCTGTCTTCATATTTAACAATGATTCGTAAGCACGAGTTTTGTATTCCGTTTAGATCATTGTTGTCTGTACGTTTGTTGCAAAGAATATCACAGACATTAAAATGTGATAGTACAAAAGAATCTGTCAATAACTTGAACAAGTGCATACAAATATTTGAGAGCGAGATTTTCGTCGAAGATATTCGTAGTTCTGGGAACGTAATGTATTTTTATGTTGTCTCGCTATACTATGAATATCGCTTAATTCTTACCAAAGTGATTTTGTTCAAGGTTTTGTCGGTAATCCCATCTGTAAGGCTTGAGGGTAATCCAGACTTTGAGCAGTATTTGCCCTTAATGCTTCCATCTTTCGATACGATATCCAAGCATTCTTTGAAGTTTCCCATATTCCCGAAATTTCCGGTTAATAGCCCGGATGGGAATTTTGAAGCGGAATCTATCACTGAAAGACAAGGCGTTTAGGAGAATCTAATTGTCCATAGTAGCACGATGTTCAAGAATATCTCTGATGCACATAAAACATAAAAGGATGTTGTCGTCAAGTAGGTTGACTTTGCACTTCTGACGCAGAGCTGTAATCAGTTCATAGAGGATCACGGAAAAACATATTGCCAAGAACATCGAAATAGAATCTGCATATGAATGAACGTTTCGTTTACACATTTCTACAACTTTTATTTCATGTAAGGTTTTGACAAAAATATGACTTTTTGACGCATTTGCACTATTTCCAAGACATTGCTAATATACAATTAGGAAAAGCTTCGTTCTGTGGGGCATATTTTATGACAAACTTATAAAAATTTCATGGCTAACTGACGCATCTGACAAAAACGAAAATTTGGCCAAATTGTTTTTATTTCTTTCGACTTGAAAAGGGACTTACTGTTCAGTTGAATTAAAATTCCAAGTACGGCTCTGTCCTTAAATCCGTATTTACATCGTAGTCGTATGTCGAATAACTGTACGCTGACGCTGGCGCTGTGGACGTGATCTAGGGATAGGACAGGACCGGCTTCGGTTTGGTTCGGGTGTGATTGAGTTTGCGGAGCCAAATATCGCGGTTCTCTTAAGACATTGGTGTATATGCTACTAAGAAAATCCGCTTATGTTCTCATGATCTAACTGAAAAACTTTTACCACAAAAATACTTTCCTCAATTCTTACAATTTTTCTAATTTATTCAAGTCGAAAGAAACTAAGAAAACGAATGTAAACTCTGGGCGCTGAAGAAAGACATTAAACGTAAACAGTGATCAGCACGTGAACAGATCCGTCGAAAGCATCCACGGATATACTCCAGTCACTTTAGGTCTAAACATCCTCGGCAGTGTATTTCTAGTGAATCCACAGACCCTTTTTCGTGTCATCTTGAGACCAGAAAAAGGATGACTGTTAAAATAAGTTACCTTGATCTTTCATGAGCTCCCAGTACAAAACATCATCGATATATTTTTGATGTAGGAACAACAAATTGGTTTAGAAAACATCCACTTTGAACCTAAATTGACTGGAGTAACATCGATCTACAGACAAATTCAAGGTCACTAGCAGTCGTCGGCGCTCTACGAATCTGCACAGGTTTGGACTTGTAAACGTGATTGTAGATGACACGACAGGCATCTAACAGTTAATTCACGCACAGGATTGCATTGCATACGCATTACGCATTCAGTAGCGTATACTCGTTTTTCGCGAGTGGAACGTTTTGTTTATATATTGGCTAAGATACGATGTCTGACACAGATACAGCCGACGAAGTGGTTGACATCAGCGCAACCCCACCCAAAAAAGGGCTAAGAAGCTACATTTAAGTGCAAATGAAAAACAAATAATATTAAATATATACAAAAACCAAATTCAAGAAAAACCCGATTTGGTCGTGGACGAAGTTATATGTAAGGTAGCACATATTTCTGGAGTATGTCGGTCCAGTGTTTATAGGATCATTAAGGAATATAGGAGCACTCACTCACTTTCTGAGCCAAAACCGTATCCTGCAAGAAAAAGGATAACGGACGGAGTAGATGACTTTGACAGAACTGCCATCAGGAGGAAAGTGCATAATTTTTTCTTCCGAAATGAGATACCTACAGTAGATAAGATATTAAGATTAGTTAATGCTAATGAGGATCTTCCATCATTTAAAAGAACCACATTCCGAAAACTTTTGAAGGAACTTAATTTTCGATTCTTGAAACGGGGAAGAAACAGTATGTTAATAGAGAAAGAAGAAGTTGTTGTGTGGAGAAGGGAATACCTTAGGAAGATTCGGAAGTTTCGCGATGAAAAAAGAAAAATTTACTATTTGGACGAAACGTGGGTGAATGCTGGACATACTCAAGCGAAACTTTGGGTCGACAAATCAGTAACATCATCAAGGCAGGCTTTTCTAGACGGTCTTTCGGCTGGATTGAAAAATCCTGCAGGTAAGCTCCTTCATCTATCCGGCAATTTAATTTTGATAAATTCGGGCAAATAATATGCTGTGATAGCAGATAATGTGTGATATTCTCCAAAAATGGTGCATTCGCAGTGTAGTCATTAGGAAAAAAACTTCGACCCTCTTTTAAGCGTTATTTTGAAATTTATTATCATTTTTGGGTACAGTCAATTTGCTTTGAATGGGTTTTGAGAAGTTGCAAACTTCAATTTTTTACGTTTTTCAGTTTTTGATCAGCATTCCGTGACTCTTAAATTCAGCTAAATGAACTCAATTGCCTCATTCCTTCAAATTTAATCAATCCATAGTGTAAGGAATAATTTATTTCCAGGAAAAGGCAAACGGCTGATCATTTGTCACGTAGGTAGTGAAGACGGCTTTGTTCCCGAAGCACTGTGGGCCTTTGAATCAAAAAGGACAGGGGACTATCATGAGGAGATGGACGGCAATTCCTTTGAAAATTGGTTCTCCAAAATGTTACTAAAGCTGGAGAATAACGCTGTTATTGTACTGGATAATGCCCCGTACCATTCTAGAAAAATAGAAAAAATTCCCACAATGGCAACTAAAAAAGCAAACATACAACAATGGCTGGCCTCAAAACAGATCGATTTTGATGAAACAATGGTCAAGGGTGAATTGATAAGTATAGTCAATAGACATAAATACAAATACGATTTTAAAATGATCGACGAAATGGCCAAAAAACAAAATAAAACTGTCTTGAGACTGCCACCCTACCATTGTGAACTGAACCCTATTGAGCTGATTTGGGCCAACATAAAGCAATACGTGGCGTCGAATAATAATACTTATAAATTTTCTGATGTTAAAAACCTCTTTCACATCGCAGTCAATAGAGTTACGGCAGAGGAATGGAAAAACTGTATCCGCCACGTTCGGGAGAAGGTTGAGGTCAAAATGTGGGATTTGGACAATGTCATCGATACCCAAATCGAACCTCTAATAATTCATTTAAACGGTTCAGAAGATTCAAGTTCCTCTTCTGAATGAGTGCGCGCAGCTTACTTACTAATAACTAAAAAGTGTAGTTAACTCATTTGTGAATCTCTAACTGGAATTTACTGTAAAAGATAATAATTATCTTGTATGAAATTTTTGATGACTACCCATAATATCTTGATGCGGTCCTGTAATGTCTCCTGCGCCTAAACACTCACTCACGAGCAATACGCGTGTATTTGTTTGGATTTAGTTTCTTTCTTCAGCGCCTAGAGTATAGTATGTGATAGATCGTTGAATTCGTATAAAAACTGCTGTTTGATACAGGGCGTACTTTTTTTCGGACCAAAGTGCCAATGGAAATGTATTAGTTTTTTATGTTCCTTAAAATAAAGTCAGAAAAGAATAAAAATGATTTGGCCGTATCGAGTGGGACCCATTTCCCGTATGCTTTGTGCCAGGTGCTTCGTTCGAAAGATTGGACATGCTCGTAGGTAAGTAATTTAAAATAGTTTACTTTTCAACGCCCACAAATCGTCCAATTTCGGCGGTATGAGGTCTCCCAACATCCTCAACATAGCTTTCTGACATGGTGAGGGAAATGTTCCCACGTCTTTCAAAGCCTCTTTGAACAAATCTTCCCAGTTACACGAGCCACTACCGAAAAGAATCACCAACAATATCACAACTTTCATATTTTTGTTTCTATGCCAACTACCAGAATCACAGTTGATGAATATTTTTGTTGACTCAGTGTCGGAATGGTGTTAAATGTAATCTGCTTATGAAGTGGCAATCTCAGACATAGATAACTAGGTTTATCTATTAAATCAAGTGGCATTATCTATTTCGATTTCGGAAATGTCATTGTTTGTTATAGTCGTGAAGTGGGCTGATTTGTTATTAATGATATCGTGGGTTTGTACAGAGTGGACCAGCCTTATGTGTCAAGCAATTTACAAGGATTCAACTGACACTCCATCTTTCACTATTTTTGAATGAAATTTATACAGTGTATTCAGAAGACAACTGCCCAGGGTGCTATCGGAGCACTTTTTGAAGTTTTGTTTTTGCGCAAGATTTATGGTTCCTTACTCTTCTTACTTCGCGATTTTTTTAAAAAGTGCCTGGTGGAACAATTTCATTCGAAAATATTAGAAAATGAAGTGTCAGTTTCGAAGCGCCAAGCCTCTACAAATCCGATTTTGCACGACTTTTGTCTACTCTACTCCTATGTCTCTATCTGTCTGCCAATCCTTTACCCGTCTATAACTTGGAAATTACCGCTCGGATGTTTATGAAATTTCCACATAAGGTTACTGCTATGCCAAAGCTTTGTAGTTTCAAGTTTCAATTCAGATGCGACAGTGCTACAAGTAAGAAACGAAAAAAAATAACTCCGTTTTTGACGTTTCAGTGGTTCCTAGAGATTTAAAATTTCCGGAAAAATTGGGTGCCGGAAAAAAACCTGTTTTTTCCGGAAAAAATGAGGAAAAAAGGAAAAATATGGAAAAATTGAAATTTGCTATATATACTAAGTGACATATAATTCCGAACACCCAGTTTAAATGGTTTTATTTTAATAAAAGTTGGTGAATGTATTTATCTCACTGTAAATAACAAGTGAAAAAATTTTCAGCCTTATCAGTTGGACATTCCGGTTTTTATACTGCTTGTTTTTAATTCACTAACGCTCTAAAAATGAATATTTCAGCCGCAGTAATGAATCAACGTTGGCGGATTTTGGTTCTTGATATCCTTTACGATCGGTTACGATGCCTAGAGTACGGAGACCTGTACGATTTCGTCAACTTAGTGAGTTTGATAGGGGCCGTATAGTGGGACTTCGGGAAGCTGGACTTTCTTTTCGGGCAATTGCAGTTAGAGTGCAAAGAAGTGTAGACACTGTGGTTAGGTGTTGTCAGGCATGGCTTCGAGAAGGCCGTATGCAAAGAGCAAGGGGCACTGGACGCCGCCGTAGAACAACAGACCGTGAAGATAGCCGCCTAAGATTATTGGCCTTAAGTGACCGTTTCTCCACTACCAGGTCCATTGTAAATGAATGGTTTGCAGAACACGGAAGACCTATTGGCATGCGAAGTGTTTACCGACGAATGAGAAGTTTTGGCTTGTTTTCATACCGGCCACACTGGATCCTCCCTTTAACTCGAGAACACCGACGTAATCGCCTTGAGTGGTGCAGACAACGGTCACTCTGGGATCAGGAATGGAACAGTATTGTCTTTAGTGACGAGTCTCGATTTTGTTTAGGCATGCACGATGGTCGTGCCAGGGTTAGAAGGCGACGTGGTGAAAGGAGGAATCCACAGTTTTTTGTTGAAAGACATGTTCATCATACTGTTGGAGTTATGGTTTGGGGTGCTATAGCTTATGGTTCCAGGTCACCTTTAATCTTCATCAGAGGTAACATGGACGCGCAGCGTTATATCCACGAAGTTCTAGAACCCCATCTTTTACCCTATCTTGACACCCTGGCAGATCCAACTTTCCAACAAGATAATGCCCGACCGCATGTTGCAAGAGTCACAATAGACTTCTTTCAACATAATGATGTCACATTGTTACCATGGCCACCAAGATCTCCCGACTTATCCCCAATTGAGCACGTGTGGGATATGATGGGTAGGAGATTGCTCAATTTGCAACGTCCTCCTCCGACTCTAGAAGCACTTCGAGAGGAGTTGGTGGTTGCCTGGAATGAGATACCACAGGAGGACATTGACCACCTGATCAGAAGCATGCCTAGGCGCGTTGGAGAATGCGTAGCACATCAGGGTGCATCCACACATTATTAAAGGTCAAAGGGCTTTAAAGCAGTGCAATCATTTTGAAATTTTTATCATTTACTTATTATGCTTCATTAAGTACTTATACAAAATTTTATTAAAATAAAACCATTTAAACTGGGTGTTCGGATTTATATGTCACTTAGTATATGCTTTTTGTATCTATTTTTACAAAATATGTTTAAAAAACTTTAAAATTGGTACCTATTTTTTACGTTTCAAGTCACAATTAAAAAATATTTAACTTCTCCCATTTTTTCCAATTTTTTCCATGGTATGGAAAAATCTGTTTTTTTCCTAATTTTTCCCGTTTTTTTCCGATATGTTAAATCTCTAGTGGTTCCTAATTATTGTCATAGAAAAATTGTAGTGCTTAAAAAGTGGGGTTTATGGAAAGGTGATATTAAATGTTACGTCTTTGATATGTGAAACACGTTCTATTATTAAGAAGCTTCTGATCCCAGTAATTACAGGAAATTTAAGTGATGAAAATCCGACGAATAATGTGCCCACGATTTGAGCAAATCGGTACCTGCTAAGAAACACGAAAAACTCGTTCGAACGCTCTTATCAGGAAACAGAGCTAATGGGTGATTTTTTTGCTAGTATCTTTTTGGCAACACTGTTTTTGACAGATGACGCGTGAATCGTGTCTTGTGTCATTGTCAAACTTGTTTAGTTTGGTCTATAATTTAACCATGAATCGACTTACGAACGAACAACGCTTGCAAATTATTGAATCTTACTATCGAAATTCATGCTCGGTTAAGAGAGTGCATCGAGCACTGCTTCCAATTTATGGTGGTATTTGGTCGGCCTACTGAGGGAGCTATTCGGAAGCTTGTAACTGAATTTCGAACCCAGTTTACATTATTGGACATTAAACCACCACCACGCAGACGTAGAGAGGACTGAAGAAAATATTGTGGCTGTATCCGCCAATGTTAGTGATGACCGTGAACTGTCGATTCGATTCTTGTTGGGCCATGTTAAGGCTAATGTCTACAGGGATGAACCAGCAACGATTGACGCACTGGAAGCCAATATTGAAGCATTTATTCGTGAGATACCGGCCGATATGTTGGAGAGAGTGTGCCAAAATTGTACCTTGCGGATGGGCCATCTAAAGCGGAGCCGCGGCCAACATTTACATGAAATAATCTTTAAACATTAAATTATATCGACCGTTCTATCGACTCAAATAAAGATTTAATCGTTTTTTTCAATTTTTTTGTGTTTTTTTTTAAATCATATCCTATACCTCTTAAAAAATCACCCGTTAGTTGCCAATGCGATCGTTCTATTCTAAGCGAGGCGGTGTTCGATAGTTTTTTGTGCTCGCTGAATATTCTATTGGTTATTTGGAATCTACAGTATATTCAGATAAGAAATAGACCGGATGTAAACAAAAGGTTCGGATGATTTTCACGCTAACGCCGCCGTCTCGACGTAAAACAGGAGCCCTCATTGGTCAATTCGCAATTAAATGCCTATGCCGAGCGGCAGAGCAGTCGTATCAAGGCAGAGTCACATTCAGGTTCAGACGTGTTACGTATGTCGTGTGCATCATTGCAATTTGATATTTCTTTGGACGTTTTCGTTTGTTATCTTATTAAGTTGTTGAGTTTGTCGTTGTTATTGTTATACCTTGTTATTGATTGTTATTGTTATCAACTGCTTGCGCAAAATGCCCAGTAGTACAGATACTGCCGATGAAGTTGTAAACTCCTGTAGTCCACCTAGGAAACGCTCTAAAAAAAGACACCTGAGTGCAGAAATGAAAGAGGTCATTTTGAATATATATAAGATCGAGCGCGAGGAGAACGAGGCATCAACCATCAAAGAAATTGTTGTGAAGGTTTCTCACAAAGTTGGGGTGTGTCGCGCATCAGTGTTTAATGTGTTAAGACAATGCAAAAAAAATCACACCTTTTCTGAGCCAATGACCAGTAAACATCGCAAAAGTATTGTTAAATCATTGGATGAAGCTGATAAGCATGCGATTAGGAGGAAAGTGCATGAATTCTTCTTTAGGAATGAAATACCTACTATAGATAAAGTACTGCAGGAGGTAAATGGAGATACAACGTTGCCAAATTTCAAACGATCAACTTTTCATGCGTTACTGAAGCATTTAAATTTCAAATGGATAAAACGGGGTCGTAATAGTTTACTACTGGATAGAGAAGAAATTGTGCTATGGAGGAGGGATTATTTAACAAAAATTGGGAAATATAGAAATCAAAACAGGAAGATTTATTACCTTGATGAAACGGGTAAACGCAGGACACACTACAAGTAACTTCATCCAGGAGGGCCTTTCTAGATGGACTGTCCACCGGATTAAAAAATCCAGCAGGTAAATACGAGTAATAGACAACAATCGGATGTTTTTCAAACCTTGAGAACAAGGTTCTAAACATTAATTCCAGGGGGCAGATAAAACATATTACAAGTAACAAAACTTTTATAACTTTCGATAAAATGCGTGGATGTTTTATTATCATTTTCATTTGTTAGAACTTTTTTAAGCCATGTTTTTATGTGTTTTCGATATTTCAATAATTTTTTAATATAATCTTAAAATATGTCGAATATTATAAACTTAAAAAAAGTTACTAAGTTTTATATTGTGTACCGTTCCTAATATTTCTAATCATTTTAATTCATACTTTAAGCTTTATAAAGTTATAATTTGTTAATATTAATATTTGCGCGTATTTCAGGTTCCTGATCATTCATTTTTTAAAGGTTTATAACTTTATATTAAATTGTGAAGCGCTGAGTAATCATACGACGTTCAATATTCTTTCTTTCAATATGACTAAATAATCCCAATTATAGCAATCTGATACTCATGTCTCAATGTTTTTTCGCTGAATGTGATGAAAACATTTGAAAAAGGTTCGCTTATTGAAATAAATCTACACCAGTTAGTACTTCGATTTCCAGGTAAAGGGAAAAGGCTTATTATCTGCCATATTGGCAGTGAGGATG